AAAATTAAGTTTGTATTTCTGCAGCCAGTCTGAGTCCAGTTTATTTAGCAACATTATTTTTTGCACTTCTTGTACTATAGACATACAGATATATATATACAAAAAACTAAGCTCTTCCTTGAATAGAGCTTTTCTTGATTACCATGAGTGCTCCATTCCATTGTGTCATCTTGTTTGTCTTTTGATGCTATAATTTCCTTATTTTACAATGTTTTAATTACATCGACTGCAACTGTTTAAAGAATAACTAGTGATTTTGGAGGTCAACTAGAGAGACTTTAAAAGGATTTGATTAGGCAATTCATTTCTTCTAATGCTACAATAGCTTTTTTTATTTGATTATGCAAATAAGCACTGGTGCACTTTTGCAAAATACTGCGAAGTTTAATCTACTCTGCTAAACAAAAAGTTATCATTGGCAGAAATACATGAGCTAAGGAATGTGAACACTAAGGTGCTTCCTGTGAGACACCCTAAGATTACACCACTCAAGAAAAATAAGAATGTGATCACCTGGGAAAATCACCTGTTGTGAAAATTTCAATCACACTGGCTGTACTGGAATTACACTGGAAATTAGAGAGGGCTATGAGCCAGAGAAACAACAGAAGGAATAACCAACCTTGCCCGGGTGAAGATACATAGCCCATGGAGGGTGATTCTTCTCTTCTGGTTGGGAAGAATGAGATAGGCTAACGAGGAGGAGAGCTGTTTGACCAACAGCCTGAACTGCGTTTCCAGATCTGACAGAAGTCATCTGAGCTAGTAGAGACATCTCTAATACTTCATGGGAAGCTTTTTAGGATTACAGACACCATAGAGGATAACTGGGTCAAATGGGAATTTTTTAGAAGATAATCTCTTTTGTGTGATGATAACCTACTACAAGAAGACATTATGCAATGATACTAGCATGTGACCAAATCTTTGAGACATAGGAAAGACCAAGGAGACGGGACCCTTGCAATGCCCCAGATCTATCCAGAAGATACTTAGGCCACAAGATGGATTTACTGGACCTTGCTTTCCCCAAAAATTGTCTCTATAATTATTATTTTTATGCCCACAATGTTTAAATATTGAAGAATATTCATTCCTTTTTTCTAAGTAAATAAGTGAATGAAGTATGGCAAACCTCTGAACTACTTAACAATGTTCTAATCAAATCTTGGACAACTCTGTCTGGAAATGCAAGTTGTTTTTCCAGATTGATGGCTGTTTTTTTTTTCCCTGTAGCACTTTGTAAGGAAAATAAAAGCAAGACACTGTGACATAACCTGAAACATAGTACACAGAGGTTTCCTATAAATCTCAGAATGCAAAATGGCTGAATATCAGACCCTTTATAGAAACACTGGCTTGTGAGGATTGACCAAGAAGCAGTTCTTTTGGAACCTACTTCTCCGTATGAACACAAATAAAAGCTGAGAAATTTTATGCTTTCTATCTAAGAAAGTGAATTGAATCTGCAAAGGATTTATTTAAAAAAATCTCTTATTGCTCTCGCTGCTCACAGTGTTATTCATTTAAATTACAAGGGCAATGCTAATTTGGATTTGGGCAGTTCTGAATAAGCCCAGTTTTTTGTTGGCATGTGAATTTAGGCTTTTTGTGAGTAGGCTGAGGATGGGGGAGAAGTTTGAGATCTAAGATTTCAAGGCCCGCTTGGACACAGTCCTGCGCCACATGCGTGTGCAAGGAGGTTGGACTAGATGATCTCTAAAGGTTCCTTCCAACCTTAAGGATTCTATGATTCTATGCTGCTGGTATGTTAGTGTGGGCTATTTCAGTACTGCAATTCTCAAGAAATAAGTAAAATAAAATCTCCCATATTAGTTACCAATGCTCCTACAGTGAACAACATGTAATCAATTTATTACAAATAGCTATAGCACAGACTTATGCCATTGTTCATATAAAACCTGTAGGAATTAGTCACTTCCTCTGTAATCGTCTTACAAGAGATATCCATATAAGAGATGGATGCAAGAAAAATGAACAATAACATGAGCAAACTGGCAATCCAGCAACAGTCGCACGAAGCTATACTATTTAAAAGTGTTTGCTTATAAATAACCCAAATGATAATATCCAATTCATATTTAAATAATTATCCAAACTCTATTACAGTAACTTCTAAAATACCAGAAATCTGAATCTAGTGGGATTGCATGTGCATTAATTAATAACAGCCAACATCTGCATCTGTTACTGGCTAAAATCCTCCTCTAACTAAATTACATTTTTGCCAGTGACTTCAAGGGAGCTTGGGCTTCTTTTTTTTTTTTGGGCTTTCTTTTTTTTGCCTACTGTGAGCCTTCCTCAATAGAAATGTAATATTCACACTTACTCATACGCCTGTTAAAGTGTTGGTCTGTTTTTTAGGTAACAGATAGGACTTCTTTGTATCATGTTTTCATTATTTTTGTGGGATGGCTACAAAGAAAGACAAGAGAAGCTCCAATGGAAGACTTCCAGCACTGGGAATTTTACTGTAAATACTGATTGTTATCTAAGCCCCCACCTACTTGACCAAATTGAGTTCTGTAATATGTGCTATTGCACAGCAGTCTCACACACACAATTAAAAGTTAATTTTTTTTAAGAATTCTACCACTAAGCAATATTTTTCTTTCAAATTTTAGTAGTCTTCCTAAGGCATCAGAAAGTTGGTATATAAACTTGGAATCTAAGAAACTTTTAGTAATATTTCTTTTCCCAAACCACTTAAGACTGCCATTTCATCAAGTCTGTACAGAACCGATGATATGCATGGTTAAGTCTCAGGACCACAGCACAAATGTGATTACAGGTCTCTGGTCATTGCGAGCTCTCAAATAAAGCACAACTACATTTTCCAAGCCTTAAAAAGTCCTGCTGCAAAATAAACTTCATCTGCAAGGTTAGATCTCATTAACTACCTCACGTATCTAGACAGATACGAATCTCTTGTCAAATCACTTGTCGAATGAACAAGTGCTTCTCAGAGATCAAGGTCAAACAGTGTCTTAGCTTTTAAATTAATATTGTATGGGCAATACGCTCCTCTGAACCTGATTTTCTGGAAAAAAAAAGAAATATGTACAAAAATATGCTACTTATGACTTCTAGGAAATCTAATAAAACATGAAGTTTCAGTAAAAGCTTTCTGTATTTTAGATGACTTTACCATAGAGATTTGAGATTTTCCTGTCACATCAACAGTTACATCTAATTTCTGGGTTGCTAGTAGTGTAATAAACACCAGTGTAATACTAGTGTATTTATTACTATAGGTATAATAAAACATAGTGTATTATTATACACTAACAAAGCGCTCCTCATATAATTTCATGCATCTCAAGATTTTGGATTCACGAATGAAATCCAGTAGCTGAATATTTTGAAAACAACAGACATCTCAACCAAGACTCTTGGATCTGTAAGATCAAGATCTGTAAATATATTGCTACCTAAACTAGATTTATGTTGATCAGAATTGAGGAAAGTGTCTTAATTCATTCACTTGTACCTTTCATTAACATATTTTATTAAAATGTTCTTCTTGTCTAAATCAAGTTAGATATCCCTGATCTACAGAAAGTTAGATATCTATAAATCATGAATTTTCCACTCTTCATGACCTATATATTTTTTCATAAGCTTCTACGTATAATAAGTCATTAATTAACTAAATCCAAAGAGATGAATATAAAATATAAGCAAACTATAAGCAAATAACAGAATTTGAGTCCTAGGAAAAGAGAAAAATAAGGAGTAATATATATAAAATAACAGCATTTAGTCAATGCTTTCAAGCATATTCAGCCACAGAAGGCTCAAAATAAACTGAAAAACAACAGTATTTTTAAATAATCAAGTTACTCATGGGCACACATATATACACTTGTTGCAAATGAAGAGACATACCTGCAGAGACTCGGGGACAGTCTGGCAACATGGACTCTACTGATGTATCTAGTGGTTCTGAGCTAGATACCCAGTTACAACAGTTCTGTAATATTAGACAGACAAATTTCTGGTAAGCCAATATCTTAAAGCAAAAATAAACACAGAGTTTGAAAATAAAAGCAATGATCACACCAAAATACTCAACCTCGCACCTCATTAAAATTGCAGTCCCAATGCAATTTATTGAAATTTATTAGTTTACTGAAAATGAAATTACATTGGCTTATGGATATTACCTGATGCTTAAATATTGTAGTAAAACTGTAATTCATGAAAAAATGTTTTTAAATACCATGTGTTTAAATGCTACTTTGAGCATGGATGAGCTTAAGTAGGTGACTAGACCAATGGGGACACTTCAAGCTAGTGTTCTCTGTTAAATAACTACTTTTACAAATGCTCAGCCTGCTTGCCTGAAAATATTAAGAGGTCATGATTTTCAACATGTTTTGATGGAATATGGTGTGGAGCGAATGGCTGTAAAATTACTGAACAAGAAATTATAACTCAGTGAAAGCAAACAAAACTTTAAGATTAATATCCAAATAACTGCCAGTATGGCTAAGATTAATTGGTATGGACTTCTAAAAATGTAAACATTGATCTTTGAGGAACTATGTTCTGGGAACATTTACATTACCCTTTTGTTCTCAAATCTCTGAATAGGATGAGGTTTTTAAATATTTTACTCTAAATGAACCTACTCACATAAGACCATAAATTGAAGTATTAAATAACACACCTCTAATAAAGCATGTTGAAACTATTCCAAACCTATTGAACTGAAGATGTAATTATAAAGCAAATACATTTTTAATAGGATTGTCACCTGAACTCCAAGATCTACATGTCTTTACTTATTACAAATCTCAATTTTCCCTTTCAGGAAGCCTGATTCACTTCATTAAAGAAAAAAAGAAAATGGTACAACTTTTTTTTTTTTTTTTTTAAAGACTCAATGAATTTTCAGACAGATTTCTAAAAAATCATCCCATCAATCATGATTGTAAAAATAGCCTATTGCTATTCTGGTAAACAAGCATGTATTGTGTATTTGTAGATGCTTGCTGCCCTAGTTGTGCACCATGGAATCCGTCCTCACTGTGGAAAGATCCTTGACTGGTAGATCAAGTGTCTTATTGTATTTCCTTAATTCATTCTGTCTGGAAGAAGATGTCAGCTGTGTTGCAGTGAGGAGAGAATTTCAAAGGCTTCAGTCCCCACCAATAAAGGCCGAGGGATGGCTTTTGAATAGATTTGTCAAGGCAACCCTACTGTTCTGGGACCAGGGAGAGCAGGAACAACATAAAGGAAGGGTTGCTGTCTGAGATTAGAAAGTGAAGTTCACAAAGCATGGCAGATTTTTGTAAGAAACAGCAGATCAATGAAACTATTGAACTAGATGGAGGAAAAAAAATGAAAACAAACACCCTATCCAGCAATGTAACTTTTTAGCAAAAATGGTTAAAATCATACATCTATGTTTCACAAAGGCTTTAAGTTTTAAAGTGGATATACATTTTGTAATTTGCATGTATAATTTTAATTAACAGCTGAATGTGAAATTGCAAATGTAAGATGGTAGAAATTTTAAAAGTAGATTTTTTATGAAGTATTACATTCATTTGAAATAAAATTAATATTAACTACTGATAGAATACTACATCAGAGAGCTCGAGATAATACAGAAGATTAGCAGACAATTAACCAGCTTTTATATACAATGTGACACTTGCCTGTAAGAAATAAAGTATTCTCGAAAGCAGTGTCAAGATATGTAAATGGATGATTTGTTTTATCATTCATTGCAGCTCCTAATAAATTCAAAAATCATGACTTGTATAGGTACTAAAAATAGGCCACCAATGATATAGGAGAGAGAGCTTCAATGAAGAATTACTTTTTTAACAATTCATTCTTTCAATGACAGCAATTAGCCCTACAGACAGGCAGCGATGAGGTGTATATTTTAATTATTATTCATTTTACCAGTAGCCTTAAACCTGATTAAAGTGGGAGATATCCAGGTGATATGCTAGTCTTAATACCACTCAGCCACACTTCACATATGTAAAATTCTTCTTTCTTACAGGAGATTTTCAATGCTAATGTAAGTTATGACACTCCATCCACTTTTTAGGCCATTAATCATTTAACTTATTCTTTAAGATCTACTTTCTGCAAATGAAATTAAAGGTAATGCACTTGTCTTATTCAGAGCAAATGCTTAAAGAAAAATGCACTTGTCAGATTCAAATTACAGGATTTAAAATTTTTAGTTTTACTACATATATTTTAAGGTTTTGATTTCCCATAAAGAAAATGGGGATTTTTCTGACAGAGCCTGTAGGGGTTGCCATTCTTTGTATTTTTAACATTTAAGGCAGAGCTGTCAGACTGCATCCCAGGTGATTCTCTATTCCCATCAGTCATGGCCTATAAAACTGTAAGGTTAAGTCAGGAATAGACTGTCTATACAATATGTTTCACTAAATCCATGGGAAAAGAAAGTCATATATAACAGAAAGTCCAGGATAAACTATTTGATATATAAACCTATTGTTTTAACAATGTGAAATGGGAATGCAGAACGCTCATCTATGAGCTTTATTTGATCCGGAAAAGCGATTCATAAACCAGAGTATAGCTGGTCTCACTTTGCAAAATTTGGTTTTTAATCTCATTGATCCCCTACTTAAGCACTAAAATTAATAATGAATGAATTCCATCATCTTTCACCCAAGAGTGGCTGTATGTGCTTGCTGGCCATATCAATTGATAATCAGATTATCTTGGACCAACTAGCCATTACTCTTGGACAGTGGTAATAAGAACATGCTGCATTTCCATCAGAAAAATCTCAGAGCACTTTATAAGCAATTGCATCTCATAAAGCTGCTGTGAGAAAAAGTACTTTGCTGGGCGTATAAATCAGCAACCTGAGTCACGAGGAGCTGGAAGGGTCTTTTCCGTCATCACTAGGTAAGTCAAGAGGCACGGAATGCCCCTAGGATGTTGCTCCATTATCAGCTTGTGCTATTATGGCACATATTTCTATATTGCTGTAAAGGCAAAAGAAACCCCAGAAATCGATTCTTATTATTTTTGGCTGGTAATTTTGAAGCTCAAAAACATTTCATCTCTATTTTAGGGGCAGGACTAGACAAACAATTTCCACCTTTCTGTAACTGTACTCCCACATCCTAAAGAAATGGAAGAGGTCAGTTGATAAAGTAGTATTTATAGAGTCTTATACAGATGCATCTAGCCCTACTCTTCAGAAAGAAAACAGTCTTACCTCTCGCATCCATTCTCGAATAGTTTTGCCAGCTTCTTGATGCCACACATTGTGAACAGAGTCTGTCAACGCTACAGCAGTTACCTTATTCTTTACTTCTGCCTCTCGTTGAATCATCTGTTAAAAAATACTGGCTTTAAGTTCTTTCTTTCTATTGAATAGTGTCTGCTTAGTCACAGATAATGATCCTAAATTAAAAGAGAAAGAGTAACACAATACTTGACTTCACTTGTTTTAAAGTTTATACAAATCCTAACAGCTCTAGAAATACAGAAGGGCCTAATATTTTTGATAAAAGAAATAATACCAACTTTTAACTGAATGAACTATTCAGTCCTATTATTTTCCATGTGGCTTGACAATTCTGGGATTAAAGGTATCATAGTGAAAAAATGGAAGATTCCCTGAGGACACTTTTTACAAGTTTCTCCAAGTTCCTATTTCTGTGCTTCAGGGAAGCCGGTACCCGTGGTTCACTGTAAGCTACTCACAACTATCATCTACTAATTTTCAGTAGATTGTTGTAGTTTTTCTGATGTACAATCTTTGACTTGTACTTTTTTTTTCTTTTTCTATCCAATTTAGTTACCTCACACTCCCACCATGGTCCCAAAATTCTTTGTGATCTCTCTCATATACAAGCTTATCCAGCTAATACCAGAGCCTCTCAACATTTTTAGGATATTAAAGAGCCTGTGTTGTTAAAAAGGACAGTATGACTAAATAATATTAGTACTAAAACCAATTAAACAATTCCTGCAAATAACACGAATGGACTGACAAAGATGCTCTAGCTCTATTTCACAGCGCTGTTCTGAAAGATAAAAGGGACTGAAAAAGAATAGTTTGATATCAAAGAGAAACAAAAAGGTTTTAATCTCCTGACACAAGTGACCCTAATTTGTAACACTGGATCAAAGAAAGTATAATGAATTATACTTATAAAGCCAGTATTTCAAAACTTGTGTCTCTACCATTGTGCTTGCTGTACTGAAATTAGTGGTTTTCCTTTTACATAAAATGGCAACACATACCATATTTTAAAAACTAGTTATTTTGATTGATGATGTATTAACTGCTTTTCAGCACATAGGCTGCATCCTTGAAAACGCTGCTCTAAAAAACACTTTTACAATGGAGATGTGAATGACTTTTTTTACAGCAGAAACTAAAAGAGCACCTTAAGAGAGATCTTTGATGCAAAAATATTAAAAAAGCAAAACAAAAAAAAATTATCAATACCATATGCAATCTTGATTTCTTTAAAATATCACACACACAAATCCTGTTCAGTATATCATCTTACTTCAAATTCTGTGCAACTGCTACCTAAACAGCATTAGGATGTTCTGAACTATTGTGCCTTGCCTTTTGTTTCCATTATGCAGATTTTAAAATCAGTGTAATCCAATATCCTAAATGAAAAAAACATACACTATTATTGGTGTGGTGATATTTAAGTAGAACTTCCCGTGTTAGATAAAATTAGGTGTTTGTCTACCCCAGCATCTTATCTTTGGTGCTGTCAGTTCTATGTGAGTAAGAAACTCTTACAAGCTTCAATCTTCCTTCATGTGGAAGCCTTCCAACCGATTTAGGGTTTTTTTTATCAGATACCCTCCTGTGGGGCACATCTAATTTCTAGGACTTTTGGAGGACAGGGCAAAACAGGAGATCACACATTTAGGACAAAATAGCATCTATTGTAAAAGGATGAGCATCACTGAACAATAATACAATATGGCATTTTTAGTTTGAAGTCTAGATTTCACTTTTATATAAAGATGTACAAACCCGATTCTTCCTCTCTTTTAACTGTTAAAACTGTCTGCCTTTCTTTTCTTTTTTTTTTTTTAACCAGGAAGGAAGAAATACAGAAATATGCAACTGAAGAGATAAAAATTCAATAGAATGCAAAGTTCCAAAATGCCACTGTAAAGTCTTATTTAAGTATGAAGTAGTATATGAGAATAACTAATCTCTCACTATGATTTTCAGGTAACTGAATTAATAGTCAGGCAACTGAAAGAATAGTTGGTGACTCTGTTTAGCAGGGGATGAAATCCCAGAGCTCTAGAGAAAGGTGGAGTCTTAAAACAAAGATTCTTATCATCACTATAATCCCCCTCCCCAAAGCTATGAAAACCTGGCTCAAGCACTCCTAAATGTTTCTTTGCATCTCAAAGGGCTGGTTTACTCAAGCCTTCAACCAGTCTGTTTCATAGGCTCATTACAAATATGTCATCTACAATGATATCCCTGTGACTACATCAGGCCCCTAATGTGGTCCAATTCTGCAAAAGGTATGAAAATATAGATTTTTTAAAAAATACGTTATTGAAAATAATGATCACTAGGCTGCTCTCGCTAAGAGAGTTTACGGATACTAAGTTAGGGAGCAAATTTACAGATCTCCAGCTAGTTAGCATTATGTATAAAGTGCCTTATGCAGGCACACACAGCACACTAGAAACATCCTTCTCCTGTGTAGCTTTCTCCCATCTGAAAGTGGAGCAAATAGCATTTCACAGCATGCAAACTTTCCTTAAACTCACCAGCCACCACTTTCCATGATTTAACCAGAATCATCAGTACCATTGTATAAAGGTGGGGGATCACATAGATATATATATATTGAGTAAGTTTAATAACAGCACTGTACATATTTATGTACAGCAATATATTAGCACTGTATACTTTTGCACTTATTGATTGCACCAACCTGCACAAGAATTTAAATTGGCAACCCAGACCGTATCTTTGTCCTTGAAGCACGTATGAATTACTCGGAGCTATTATATGCTGAGGGAAACTCGAAATCATTCCCAGCTCATTCTCTCCCAGTATGACTCCCTGAAATCTTCTGAAGGGCTGTTAAGGAACAGCGAGGAAAAAAAGTTCATTCTGCACTGCAAGTGTTTTCTTTTCTCAAGCCATTTTGTCTCACATTTCTGTATCAAAAATTTTCTATCCTGGTCATCTGAGAACATCATCATGTTCTTCAGATCACAAAATCAGATGGGTAGTTTCCTTTCCCCTGGCTAGCCATCATTCAAATTCATTATTCTCAACTTCCCCATTCGGATGTAAGAATCAGGAGGCATTGATCACCATCTCTTCCTAATCTTCCTTCACAGGACACATACAGCCTTTCCTTTTTAGATCACACATAAAACAGGGAAGAGAGTAGTTCTGATAGTTTTGATCTTGATCAAACTGATGAGATGAACATTCTGCCTGCAACCAATGGCTTAAATGGCCCACAAAGATGATGCTCTTTATAGCCATCATGACAGTTATACAGTGAAGAAATAGGCCCTACTTGACTCTGTCAGTGCAAGGCATAAGTAGCAGTAAATCACACATAGCATGGACTAAAGAGCCAGAGTGGAAAAGGCTGAAAAGGAAAATACAGCCACGGAATCAAGTTTAGACACTATTTGTACAGGAAAAAAAAAATGCAGCACATGATTGCCAGCAGAGAGATGATCAGCAGATATAACATGTACCACAGGAATGCTCTATAGTAGGAATCCAGGAGCTGTGGAGACCCAGGCGAGAAACCAATAGTCTGTTTTTCTAATGCATTTGAGATACACCTAATAACCAGTGGTTTCAGTTTGAGGGGTCCTGTCTTGTATTACCTTCCAGAATGCAAGCGATCAGTAGATAGATTGTCAAATCTCTATTGAGATAAGAGATAGATTGAGGTTGACATTGTGAGTTTTTGGATCAGACACAGCACTGGCTACAGTCAGGGCAGAGCCTTCCTGATGCACCAGAGAGATAACAAGGGACTAAGGGGATCAAATGAGCTTCAGCTACATAACTCTTTATGACAAAAAAGAAAAAAAAAGAAGAAAAATTAGTAGGCATTGCTTCTTTTATGAGGTTACTTAGAAAAAATAAATAAGATCAGTGCATTGAATGGAGGAAGAATAAAGAATATTAACTTAATTTTAAAAGAGAATAAAGTGACTATGTCCAACTTTGAGTGACACCAAAATATTCCTACTTGGCATGGCAAACCCAGAAGACTTGTACTGTAACAGCTCAAGTTCTCTGCTGATAATAACAACCTAGGAGAACAGACCTAGGCGGTGTTTAAACAGCAGATCTTCTTATAAGGGATCATACTTTATCCTTTGAGAAGATACAGACGGATTATATATTTTTGCCACAAAAGCTTCAACATTCAGTAAATGCTCCAAAATCAATGGATACATAGCTCACAATTAAAACAAACTAACGTACTTATGTTTTCTTAAGCAAAAAAGATTTGAGCTCATGTCTAAGTTAAAAGACAGCAGAATAAAATTGCAACTATAAAAGAAATTAACACACAACACAAGTTTAATACCTAGCTGCCGCTCAAATTTGATATAACTACATGATTACAAAGGAAACACATCATAGCTTCTCTGCCAGGTTTTCATTCACTAAACAGCACAGAACTGAAGGATCCAGTTTACAGTCTGGCTCCTCCAGATTTTTCCAAACACCTTTTCTATTCTGAAATTTCCATTTTAGCTTGAATGTAAGGCTTGAGGTTCCTTCTTTGCTGGGAAGCTCTGACAACAGGGAAGGTGTCCCTAGAATGATCAGATAAATTTTATCTTGATGTCCATGGTGGGACTGTTCACCTTCCACTTCTGCCTTTGCACACACACTTCTTAGTCCATGGACTAAGTCCCTAATCTTTGGCCTGTCCTGTGATTAAGGCAGGCTTTCCTAGCCTTCAGGCATCCCTTTTGGCCCTAGTTTGTGAGATATTTTTTAAGAAGGAAGAAAGGATGTTATCTTCTTTCACAGAATCCCATGGCTTTAAAAAACACATTTGCATAGAAACTGTTTCATGCATAATCTCATTATATAGAAGAATAAAAAGTCTCAATACAAATAACTTTTATTAAGAATAATTTAAGGAAGTAACAGTAACATTTATTTTTTGTGATATATTTACCATCTCATTGTTACTTCACATTTAATTCCCTTATACTGGTAAGTCCTACATCAGTGTTCACTATGACAAGTTAGAAAACATTCAGGCATCTTTTTGAAAGTCATCTCTATCCAGATGGTTGAAAATTTGTTCCTTCGCTTTGCCAGGGAAAACG